TTGATGGTTTTTTATAAGCAGGCAAAAGCCCCACTCCGCATTCACCCAAAAGAAATGAAAATTTATGTCCACATAAAAACCTGCATACAGGGGCGTCTGAGCGGCTCAGTCGGTTGAGCGTCTGACTTCGGCTCAGGTCATGATTTCACAGTTCATGGTTTGAGCCCCACATTGGGCTCTGTGCTGACAGCTCAGTGCCTGGAGCCTGCTTCTGATTCTGTGTCTCCCTCTCTCTTTGTCCCTCCCCTGCTCATGATCTGTCTCTCAAAAATAAATAAATGTTAAAAAAAAGAGTCTATTATAAAAAAAAGAAAACCTGTATACAAATGTTCATAACACTTTTATTCAAATAGCCTCAAATTGGAGAAAACCCAAATATCCATCAAGTAGTGAATGGATAAAAAATCTGTGGTAGTCTGTAGGTTAGAAAATCACTCATCAAAAAAAGAACTAATGACACATTTGATAACAAAGATAAATCTCAAACACATTCTGTCACATAAAAAGGATAAAGGCTTATTTATATTGATTACAAGCTAATCTATTTATGTTGCATTCTATTATATTGCATACTTGAAAAGGCAAAACAACAGATCAGTCGTTGCCAAGGGTTGGAACTGGGGGAAGTGGATTGATTGTAAAAGGAGAATGAAGGAACTTTCTTGAGATAGAAATGCTTTACATCTTAGTTGTGATGGTAGTTACTTGACTTCACATTTGGTCAGAACTCATTAGACTTCACTCTTAAAAATGTGAATTTTCTTTTGTATAACTTCTACCTCACGTTAAAAATAGAGGAATGCACTAAGTCACAAAAAGCACTTATGGTGAAAAGTAGGTCTCCCTCCCATCTAAATACTTTCCAAAAACAACTATTCACAACCAGTGATAAGTCCTTCCAGGGAATATGCCCTTCCACAGAGAATATATATATATCAGACGAATAAATCTACATGTTTATTCCACCTATAACTTTATTGTTTTTTATCAAATGACAAGCATTCACTTCATCTTGATTTTTTAAATTTTACTTGAATTTGAGAGACACAGGAGGAATGTTATTAGGAATTCTAGAATCATAGATGAAAATCATCGCAAGATGCAGTACTTCTGTAGATGCATTGCTTAGCGTTCTAAACAAGATATAATTTGAAAGTGCATTTAGCCTTACTTAGAGGCAACAATGTCATTGTCATGTTTTAGTACTTATTTCGTAAAAAGAAACAAAAATATCTTATTTTTTTATTTAATAAAATAATTTTGTACTGGCCCATATCCACATACATGCAGCTGCCTTATTCATGCTATATAATATGAATGTATCATTACACTACTGATGAACATTTAGGTCGTTAAGAATATTTTTAAGGGTATCTGTGTAGCTCAGTTGGCTGAGCATATGACTCTTGATTTTGGCGTGGGTCATGATCCAGGGTTGTGGGATCAACCCCATGTTGGGCTGTATGCTGAGCATGGAGCCTCCTTATATTCTCTCTCTCTCTCTCTCTCTCTCTCTCTCTCTCTCTCTCTCTGTCTCTCTCTGCCCCTCTCCCCTGGTCTCTCTCTCTCTCAAAAACAAAAAGAGTATTTTTTATTATAAACAATGATGCAAGGACATATTTTTTTTACACATTCCTCCATTAGCACCTGTAGTAGATACCAAGAATTGTCATTCTTGTGTTAGAAGATTCTATATTTTATTTCTGATAGATATTGCCAAAATGTTCTCCAAAAAAGATGTTCTTATCTATACTCCTGCCAGTGGCGATTGAAAGTGCTCACTTACACACATCTTCACTAATACAACATTTTCTCAGCCTTTGACTTCATCAGTCAAAGTGAAAATGGTATCTTATAGTTTTAGCTTGGATTTTGTATATGTTACCTGGTTGGATTCTTGCAATATTCTAGTGGGGTAAAGAAGGTCAGTGCTATAAACAGTTTACAAATGAGAAAACCAATGCATATAGGATTAAGCAATGTATTCAAGATTATAGTAAAGGGTAGCTGAGCCAGAGTTTCTACGGAGGTTCTCCTGAACTTACCTCCTGCTACCTTACATTTCAAATATCTACTTGAGTTTTCCATTTTTAGGACACAGTTGGCAAAAGAAAACACCTGATTCATTTAGAAAACCCAGAAGAGAATTAGCCCTCTCTGCAAAAGTGTCACTTCTTTCACTCTTCTGCCCTAAGGATGCAACTGTGATTCTGACCAGGCATTTCCCTTGCTGGGAAATACCTGAAAACCAGATGAAGCACAAGTGGTTTATCTGCAACTCAGAGGAAGTCATCCCTCCTGCAAATGTTTTTTGTTTATTTAATATGTAAATTCATGTCTTTCTTTTTATTATTATTTGAGAGAGAGAGAGAAAGAAAGGAAGAGAGGGAGAGAAAGAGATACTCCTAAGCAGGCTCTACATTCAGTGTGGAGCCGGACATGGGGCTCAATCCCAAGACCTGGGATCATGACCTGAGCTGAAATCAAGTCAGATGCTCAACTGACTCAACCACCCAGGCACCTCAAAGTGGTTTTTTTGTTTTTGTTTTTGTTTTTTAAGTTTACATATTTTTTTTTAGTGGTCTCTACACCCAGTGTGGGACTTGAATTCAAAAACCCATGATCAAGAGTCACATGCTCTACTAACTGAGTCAGCCATGCACCACCCCTCTAAAGTTGTTTTTATCAACCATTTCAAAGTTATATATAGCATGACTATTTTAGCATCTTCTCATTTTTCTACATCAGCCCATAAAATATAAATATTTGCTTTATTGAAATCCTTCATCTGAACCTCCTGAGGCCTAATGTGTTTTCAAATTCAGAACTGTTTGATGATTTTAGAAAGATATTATGATATATATGCCATAAATTTTTAATTACTCCCAATAATGTGGTATCATATAATCAAACACACTGATACTTCTTTAGCAAAACATGAATATTCACACAAGGTGCATCAATAAGGAATATAGACAGATTTACTTCAGTTCAAGATTTTGGCCACTGAAAGAAATTGCACTTATATTTTTAATTTTCTGAGTTTTATAGTATTGCAGAATTAAGGTTTTAGGATAAAGTTTTAAGTATTATATTAAGAAAAACAAACAGATCAGTTCTGTCCAACACAGTAGCCTTGAGTGATCCATGGTTATTTATTTTTAAATTAAAGCTAATTGTAAGCATATAAAATTTAAAGTTCAAGTATTAATTAATAAAACAAATATTGGGGTGCCCTTTGGCTCAGTTGGTTAAGCATCTGTCTTTGGCATAGGTCATGATCTCACTACTTGTGAGTTTGAGCCCCGCCTTGCTCTCTGTGCTGACAGCTCAGAGATAGGAGCCTGCTTCAGATTTGTGTCTCTATCTCTCTCTGTCCTTCCCCTGCTTTCTTTCTCTCTCTCTCTCTCAAAAATAAATAAACACTGGGGTGCCTGGGTGACTCAGTTGGTTAAGCATCCCACTTCAGCTCAGGTCATGATCTCACAGTTCGTGGGTTCAAGCCCAACGATGGGATCAATGCTGACAGTTCAGAGCCTGGAGCCTGCTTCAGAACCTGTGTCTCCCTCTTTCTTTGTCCCTCCCCTGCTCATGGTTATGCTCTGTATCTCTCAAAAATGAATAAAAGTGGGGCGCCTGGGTGGCTCAGTTGGTTGAGCATCCGATTTCAGCTCAGGTCATGAACTCACGGTTCATGGGTTCGAGCCCCACATCGGGCTCTGTGCTGACAGCTAGCTCAGACCCTGGAGCTTGCTTCAGATTCGGTGTCTCTCTCTCTCTCTGATGCTCCCCTGCTTGTGCTGTCTTTCTCTGTCTCTCAGAAATAAATAAAATATTAAAAAATTTTTTAAAAAATGAATGATAGAAATATTAAAAAAATATATTAAACCATATTGAAGATGTGTGTATAGAAATTACAAATAAATCCACAAATTATTAGCCATGATAAGTGAATTTGGAAAGGTTGCTAGATGTAAGGTCATCAAAACAATAAAATCAATTATATTTCCATGTCACTAAAAGGTAGAAAAGGCAAATGTAAAAATTATACAATCTATAACAACATCAAAAATAACACTTATCTAGGTAAAACCTAATAGATATACAAGCCACTGTACTGAAAACAATATTGAAAAATTAATGAAAGAAAGACCAAATAAATTGGAAGATATACCATATCCATGAATTGAAAGATTCAAGATGCGAACATGTCAATTCTTTCTAAATTATTTTATTATCCCTCTGATAAAAATCACAGCCAAATGCTTTGGATAACTGACAAACTGATACTCAAATTTATTTGGAAATATAAATGGCTAAGAATAGCCAAAACAATTTTAAAGAAGCAGAACAAATTTGGAAGACTTACACAGCCAAATATCAAAACCGGTCATAAAAGTCTGTAGCCTCAATGGGGTACCTGGGTGCTACTTAGTAGGTTAAGCATCTGACTCGATTTCAGCTCAGGACATGATCTCATGGTTCATAAGGTCACAATCTTATCATGAGTTTGAGCCCTCCATAGAGTTCTGTACTGGCAACGTGGAGCCAGCTTGGGATTCTCATTCCTCTCTGCCCCTCCCCCACTTGCACTGTCTCTCTCTTAAAATAAATAAATAGGGGCGCCTGGGTGGCTCAGTTAATTAAGCATCCAACTTTGGCTCAGGTCATGACCTCACGATTTGTGGGTTTGAGCCCCGCTGACAGCTCAGAGCCTGCAGCATGCTTCAGATTCTGTATCTCCACCTCTCTCTGTCCCTCCTATGCTCATGCTCTGTCTCTGTCTGTGAATGATAAATAAACATTAAAAAAAAAACTTAAAAATAAACTTAAAAAAAAAAGTCTGTAGCCTAAAACTGAAAACAACACAAAACCCATCTAGCTGCCACATACATGAGTTTTGCACCTTTCTCATCCTGTATTGGTAGAGGACTGGACCAATACTGGGAATAGGGGAATATCAAGAGCACTAAAGTCAATGTAGAAGAAATAACTCTTACCTTGGGAATGACATAGTTTCTAAATTTAACATCATGGGTCACTGCATGAGGCAGGTTGACCGGGACAAGGTCAATGTACCTCTGGATCTCATGCAACACTGCATTCATGTAGGGCATGCGGCTCCTGTCCTGCATGCAGGGTCTCCGGTGTCGGCCAATTACACAGTCAATCTCTTCCTGGACTTTAGCTGAAAAAACACAAATAAGACTGATGAAAAAAGTGAAAAGTACACACACATTTGCAGGCCAATTCAGGTTCTATGAACATTCTGAAGGTGTTCTAAGGGAGGGGGACAAACCATAAGAGACTCTTTAATACAGAGAACAAACAGGGTTACTGGAGGGGTAGTGGGAGGGGGGAATGGGCTAAATGGGTAAGGGGCATTAAGGAATCTACTCCTGAAATCACTGTTGTACCATATGCTAACTTGGACATAAATTAAAACAAAGAATACTGCATATTCAGAATAAGGAAAGATTGCTTTTCTTTCTCTGTCTCCTTCCTTCCTCCCTCCCTCCCTCCCTCTCTCTCTATTTTTTATTTTTTAGAGAGAGAGCGCAAGCAGAGGAGAGCAGCACACACAGGGAGAGAAAGACAGAATCTTAAGCAAGCTCCACACTCACCACGGACCCTGATGCGAAGCCCAGTTCCATGACCCTGGAACCATGATCTGAGCTGAAACCAAGAGCCAGATGCGCAACTGACTGAATCACCCAGTGACGCCAAAAAAGATTTCTCCAAGAACATACCTACCATTCAAAGTAGCCTCTTAAGGGGGGATGGGCATGGAGGCGGGCACTTGTGGGAATGAGCACTGGGTGTTATGTGGAAACTATTTGACAATAAACTATTTGTAAAAAAAAAAAAAAGTTGAAGCCAGAACATAGGGGGGAAATGACTTCAAAGTTATGAGATAAAAGAACCATAAATATACAATTTAAAAAAACAACAACAAAGTAGCCTCTTAAGAAAACTGATATTCAATTTACGCTGGCCGTGCCGGCTACAAATCCTTTCGCCTAAAACCTAGATGCTTATCCAAAGTTCTTTTTATTGATAAAATACATAGCTTTCTGCCTTTGCTATTATACTCACAGGGTCTTCACTTCTCAGTCATCCATTATGGTGTGAATTTGTCTCACTTATCTCCCTCTTTTATTTTTGGATAAATTAGAGTTGATGGCACAGGAATTTCAGTTATGAAGCTTCTCTAAGAGAAACAAGATGGAAGACCCTAAGAGTGTCTTCCCAACATAATTTCTGAAATTGACCCTGCCCGCTATGCTCGCTGTACCTGTGACTTCTGGATATTTCAGCAGGAGCAGAATTGCAAATCTTAGCGTGGTGCTTGTTGTCTCTGTCCCAGCTCCAACCAAATCGCTTGCAGTGGCTACCAAGTTTTCACAAGTGAATTCCAACTGCTGTTTGTGGTTTTCCTAGGAATTATTTGATGCAGTTATTTGATGGTTTGCCAGTATATGTCATTACAATAAATCCCAAATAGCACATTGTTACCAAGTGAAGCTAATTTAGAAACTAGAGAGGGCAGTGTTAAAATAACAACTATATGGTATGGAAAACTGTATGGATTAGTTGACTCAATCTTCATTTCCTATTCCCTCATCCCTTGCTTGTCTACAAATTCTACTTCCCAGCCTCTTTTGCAGCTACATCAGCCAAAGCAACCTATTTCTTACCAATGGCCTACTGATGTCACTTTCTCTCCTTCCTTCTTCTTACTCAAAACACAGATACATAGGTGGTGATGGTATAGACAACATCATGAAACATAAGTATTTGAGCATGAACATAAAGCCTATACACTAAGTATGCTAAGGAAAAATGTAAGGCACCTGAGTCCATGATCCTTCAGGGCTACTGTACATGTCCCGGACTGCTTAATATGAAATTCACTCTACATGAGAATAATAAACCCACTATTTCCTTAAAACGTTGTTAATTGGGTTTTCTCTTGTTGATAGGGACACATAATCTGAATAAACAGAAGTGAGTTACTAGAGTGATATCTCAAAAAAATGGTATAAGCCAAGATTAAGAATTTGCAATTCTCTGCTTCTGTTATAAAATTATGTGGATTCTATATTGCCTAAAATCTCATTATAAGGTTGAAAATGTGCAAAAGCTAACATGGCAGCACATCCTAGAACAGATTATAGCGAAAATGGATTTATAAAGACAAAAGGGGGCCAGCTGCTATTGTATTCCAGATGTGAGGCAGGAGGCAACTTGGAGTAGGAAACAAGTGCAGGAATTAATGGGGATACACAGATAGAAGAAATACTACAGACATGAAGACAGAAAATTTAGGCACTAACCACTCATAAGGGATGAAGGAGAGTGTAGGGAAAATGCGGATGTTGAGGATAAGAGACTGACTGAATAGAGGTCTCATAAACTGTACGTTGGGAGACTAAAAGTACTTCACAAGGACAACCAGAGTTGGTTTAAGATAAGAGTGACACAAAATTGACAATAACCATAGGGCCATTTGAAACACTGATTATGAAGTTCACTAAAATACAAATCATAATAACAATAATTTCTTCTTATCCCTTCCTCTAGACCAGCATTAATTTTATAAAGTTCTCATAATCTCCTAGTGACCTGTGGCATGCCTAACATGTAATCAACTCCATTAAGACAGACTTAACCCATTCAGTAGCTGTACGTGCTTGCACTTGTACCCACTGGTAACATCAACTTCACAGTTTTCTAATGTTATCAGCCCAAAATTACCTTAAGGCCAGGAAAAAGAGTAGGACACTTTACTTTTAGCATTTCCTTCTGTTGAAGTGAATTTAAAGAATCAGTGCTTACATATGAAGGGATTATCAATTTAAGCCAATTTTATGCCTAAGTTTTCTTGTAAGAGTTTTACATTTTTAGTTTTTTTTTTAATTTTTTTTTTATTTTTTTTAATAGTTTATTGTCAAATTAGTTTCCACATAACACCCAGTGCTCATCCCCACAAGTGCCCTCCTCCATGCCCATCCACCCCTCCCCCCCTACATTTTTAGTTCTTACATTTAGGTCTTTGATCAACCACACTTCCTCCCAAGGTTAAGTACAAAGTTATCATTTGGCCCAGCAATTCTACCACCAGGTATATACCCAAGAAAAATTAAAACATAGGGATACACAAAAACCTGCACAAAAATGTCCACAGAAGCTTATTTATAATAGTCAGAAAATCAGAAACAACCAGAATGTCTATCAACCAATAAGTGGATATATAAAATATGGCATATCCACTACGGAACAGCATTCAACAAAAGGAATGAAGTACTGATATAAGCTACATCAATGAACCTTGAAAACATTATGTTAAGTGAAAGAAGCTAGAACAAAAGACCATATACTATAGAAGTCCGTTAATATGAAACATCCAGAATAGCAAACCTATAAAGACAGAAAGTAGAGGAGTGATGTCGGAAGCTGGGAGGCCTCAGGGGCAATGCAATGGATATTTCTTTTTCTTACATCTTACCACTTTGTTCTTTTATTCTTTTTGTTTTAGCTTGATTTGTCTTTTTTAGTTTATTTTTTATTTTATTTTTATTTTTTTGCAAATAGTTTATTGTCAAGTTGGTTTCCATGTAACACCCAGTGCCCATCCCCACAAGTGCCCTCCTCCATGCCCATCTCCCCCATTTCCCCCCAAACCCATCAGTCCTCAGTTTGTTCTCAGTATTCAAGAGTGTTTCATGGTTTGCCTCTCTCGTTCTCCCCCATTATTTCCCCCCTTCTTCTCCCCATGGTCCTCTGTTAAGTTCCTCCTAATCCTCCTATACGTGCAAACATATGGTATTTGTCCTTCTCTGCCTGGCTTATTTCGCTCAGCATAACACCCTCAAGGTCCATCGATGTTGCTACACATGGCCGGATTTCATTGTTTCTCATTGCCATGTAGTATTCCATCGTATAGATAAACCACATCTTCTTGATCCATTCATCTGTTGATGGACACTTAGGCTCTTTCCATGTTTTAGCTATTGTGGAGAGTGCTGCTATGAACATTGGGGTACATGTGCTCCTATGCATCAGCACTCCTGTATCCCTTGGGTAAATTCCTAGCAGTGCTATTGCTGGGTCATAGGGGAGTTCTATTGTTAGTTTTTTGAGAAGCCTCCACACTGTTTTCCAGAGGGGCTGCACCAGTTTACACTTCCACCAACAGTGTAGTAAGGTGCCCGTTTCTCCACATCCTCGCCAGCATCTAAAGTCTTCTGATTTACTCATTTTAGCCACTCTGACTGGCATGAGATGGTATCTCAGTGTGGTTTTGATTTGTATTTCCCTGATGAGGGATGCTGAGCATTGTTTCATGTGTCTGTTGGCCATCTGGATATCTTCTTTGGAGAAGTGTCTGTTCATATCTTCTGCCCATTTCTTCAGTGGATTATTTGTTTTTTGGGTGTGGAATTTGGTGAGTTCCTTAAAGATTTTGGATATTAACCCTTTATCCGATATGTCATTTGCAACTATCTTTTCCCATTCTGTTGGTTGACTATTAGTTTTATGGATTGTTTCTTTTGCTGTGCAGAAGCTTTTAATCTTGATGAGGTCCCAATAGTTTATTTTTGCTCGTGTTTCCCTTGCTTTTGGGGATGTGTCAAGTAAGAAATTGCTGCGGTGGAGGTCAAGGAGGTTTTTTCCTCTTTTCTCCTCTAGGGTTTTGATGGTTTCCAGTCTCACGTTCAGGTCCTTTATCCATTTTGAGTTTATTTTGGTATAAGGTGTGAGAAAATGATCTACTTTCATTCTTCTGCATGTTGCTGTCCAGTACTCCCAGCACCATCTGTTAAAGAGGCTGTCTTTTTTCCATTGGATGTTCTTTCGTGCTTTGTCAAAGATTAGTTGGCTGTATACTTTTGGGTCCACTTCTGAGATCTCAATTCTGTTCCATTGGTCTATGTGTCTGTTTTTGTGTCAATACCATACTGTCTTGATGATGACAGCTTTGTAGTCGAGGCTAAAGTCTGGGAAGGTGATATCTCCCGTTTTGGTTTTATTTTTTAGTATTACTTTGGCTATTCAGGGTCCTTTGTGGTTTCATACAAATTTTAGGATAGTTTGTTCTAGTTTTGAGAAGTATGCTGGTGCAATTTTGATTGGGATTGCATTAAATGTGTAGATTGCTTTGGGTAGTAATGACATTTTAACTATATTTATTCTTCCAATCCATAAGCATGGAATGTTTTTCCATTTCTTTGTGTCTTCTTCAATCTCCTTCATAAGCTTTCTATAGTTTTCATCATACACATCTCATATCCTTGGTTAGGTTTATTCCTAGGTACTTTATGGTTTTTTGTGCAATTGTGAATGGGATCAGCTTCTTGATTTCTTTCTGTTGCTTCATTGTTGGTGTATAAAAATGCAACCGATTTCTGTACATTGATTTTGTACCGTGCAACTTGGCTGAATTCTTGGATCAGTTCTAGTAGGCTTCTGGTGGAGTCTGTCGGGTTTTCTATGTAGAGTGTCATGTCGTCTGCGAAAAGTGAAAGTTTGTCACTTTTCTTTGTCGATTTTGATGCCTTTGATTTCCTTTTGTTGTCTGATGGCTGATGCTAGGACTTCCAGCACAATGTTGAACAACAGTGGTGAGAGTGGACATACCTGTCATGTTCCTGGTCTCAAGGGGAAAGCTCTCAGTTTTTGCCCTTTGAGGATGATGTTAGCTGAGGGCTTCTCATAGATGGCTTTTATGATGTTTAAGTACCTTCTATCCCGACTTTCTCGAGGGTCTTTATTAAGAAGGGATGTTGTATTTTGTCAAATGTATTTTCTGCATCTATCGACAGGATCGTATGGTTTTTATCTTTTCTTTTGTTGATGTGATGTATCACATCGATTGATTTGCGAATATTGAACCAGCCCTGTAACCCAAGAATGAATCCCACTTGATCTTGGTGGATGATTCTTTTTATGTGCTGTTGGATTCAATTTGCAAGGATCTTGTTGAGGATTTTTGCATCCGTATTCATCAAGGATATTGGCCTGTAGTTCTCTTTTTTTGCTGGATCTCTGTCTGGCTTGGGAATCAGAGTGACACTGGCTTCATAAAATGAGTCTGGAAGTTTTCCTTCGATTTCTATTTTTTGGAATAACTTGAGAAGAATTGGTATTAATTCTGTTTTAAATGTCTATTAGAACTCCCCTGGGAAGCCATCAGGTCCAGGGCTCTTATTTGTTGGGAGATTTTTGATCACTGGTTAGATTTCTTCACTCGTTATGGGTCTGTTCAGGTTTTCTATTTCTTCCCGTGTGAATTTTGGTAGAGAGTGTGTGTTTAGGAATTTGTCCATTTCTTCTAAGTTGTCCAATTTGTTGGCATATAATTTTTCATAGTATTCCCTGATAATTGCTTGTATTTCTGAGGGGTTGGTTGTAATAAGTCGATTTTCATTAATGA